TCTCTGCCCTCTGTGTACAGGTTGGGGTCTTCCCAAAGGTCTTTGCCAGCACTTGACTCAGCCCAAACCTCAGTGCTCCCCGGCAGCTACAGCTGGCTTTGCAGCACCCTTCAGCCTCATCCAGGGAAACTGCAGCCAACCGATGGGGAGCCCCGCCAGATTCCCAGTGTAAAAACAGAAGTGCCCTTTCGTGCATAGGCATCTTTGATGGTTCCACCCCGACGCCAGAAGAAAATCATCCCCATTTTAGCTGTCATAGCGCGCTCTAGTGGGAGCCGGTTCCCTGCACAGCTCGGCCGCGTCCTGGATGGACTGCTCTCCCAGCAGCATCCCGGCAGCACTGCTCTCCCGGATGCATCCCAGCAGGACTGCTATCCCTGCTGCAGCCCTCTCACCCAGGGACACAAATGAGTGTCCAAAGACCTGAGGGCAAAGGGAGACAGCTATGAAACCAGCTCCTCTGGGAAAGAATCAGCGATTTGAATTGCCTAGAAAAGCTGTGGCTGCCCCATCCCCAGAAGTGTTCAAGGCCAGGTTGGATGGAGCTTGGAGCAACCCGGTTTAGTGGAAGGTGTCCCTGCCCAGGGCAGGGGGTGGAATGAGATGAGCTTTCAGGTCCCTTCCAACCCAAACCATTCCATGATTCTATGGTGCTATGAGAAGGTAAAGCAGCCTGTTACTTGCAGATAATGCTGTTTCTTTGCAACTACGTCAAAAAAAAAAACCCAAACAAAATATTTCCCCCTCTTTTCTTTTTCCTGGGAATCCTTCCTTTCACACAAATAGCTCGAGAAGGCACACGAAGAACCTCAGCATGGGTGAGATTACTTTTTTTACTGCAAACCCCATATTTACAATCACAGAGCTGCTCAGTCACACCCTTCAAGCATCATCTTCCCCCACGCTGCCTGTCGGTAACATTCCAGCACCACCGCGTCCCTCCTGCTCAGCTGAGGCAGCTCTGAGGCCACATGGCCTTTCTGTAAAACACCTCTTTGCCCCTTGCCTGCACCTCCCAGGCTGCTTCCTCCCCCACCAACACAGGGCTTCCTGCTCTCTGATTCATTCTGCATGTGGGTTTCAGACCATAGAGCGGGCACCAAGTCGCCAAGAGAAGACACTATTTCTTACCTTTTTGTTATTACTATTCTTTCCATGCTTGGATAGGAGCAAGCCTCTGTGAGGAAGGGAATGGGAGCATTCAGAAAATAAATCGTTGTTCACTTTACGCACCTTTGGGTCTCATTCATAACCCAGAGCATTAGGAGAATAACTCAGGTTGAAATCTGCAGTATTTATTCCATTACAAGGGAATTGTTTCTTCTGCAGAAAAAGCACCAGACATTGATATCGAAGGTGTGGGAAGACTGACCACTTGTGTTGGTGAGTGAAGAGGGGATGAGACCTTCACACCCCAGGTCAAATTGTCCAGGCAAAGCTCTTTGGTGCCCCTGAACTTTAGTTAAGAGGCTCATTGTCATCTCTGCAGCTACGTGGGACCCTGAGCAGCGATTTACAAGGACAGGCTGGCACACGGCGTGCCATGGATGTGATTTAGCTGGGACCTCTGAGGAACACAGTAAAACAAAAGCTGCTCCAAGCTGATAAGGGTTGAAAAAGAAACTCAAAATGCATCAGGGCTCTGAAGCCTCTCTGTTATTGTGGCATTCTCCAGGATAACCTGTTTGTCAGCTCCGTGCTGAACCTACCCCAGAGGTGTGGCAACTGTGGAAAGTGGCACAGGCAGTGCGAGGCAGGTTTTGAACAAGGTTCAACAGAGCAATACTTAGCACCAAAAAGATTTTACCTGCAGTTCTCATGAACCCTGAAAGGAAAAGGCAGATAACCCAAAAGCCTGGATATGGCACTAACCATCGAGAAACAGCCTGGATTCAATTCCACTCCCACCTCTACTGTTGTGCAACATTTGAGACAGGCCACTTGAAGCCTCTTGAGCATGCACCTTCATGAGAACTCAGCTTTGCAGTAAGCAATCCCATAATACTGGGGATTGTAGGACAGTGGTCTCTGTGAGACTGGAGAAACTGAGGCCCAGTGCCTGACAAATGGCATCCTGAAGGAAGAGACCAGACACCAGACCAATGCAGACAAGGCAGTGTCCCCTGTGAATGTAACATCTTCCTCATCTATACTTCCTTGCTTCCCATTTCAATAACTGCCAGTGAAGAAAACAGAAAACAGGAGTTGGTGTAGGACAGAGATGTATTTCTCTTACACCATGCTGAATACCATCATGCTGAGACATCAAAACCTTTGCTTGAAGGCAGCTGAGAAAGAGTATAAAGCAGTCAAGGGGTTGTTTGTGTATGATTAGGGAGATATTTAAATGAAAGCAGAGCCTGGTAAAGGAAAATAAACCTGATATGATGCAGCATTTCAAAGCTGAAGATTGTTTTCATACAGGCAGAGATGCCCCCAATACCATGCTTTTCCACAGCAGCCTCATGGCTATGAGACACCTCACCAGGGTAGGGCAGATCCAGGTCAGACACTGGTGTAATGCTCATCACTGATGACACTTCATTTCTGAAGCCCCAAACCAGATGAAGTTCAGACTTCCACTTCAGATGGAAGTCCTACATTTTGGCTGGGTCTTCTTCTTTGTCCACTGCCAGGCCCAGCCCACCCCTCTGCCAGCCTGCAGGCAGCTGCAGGATTAGCTGGAGGATCCCAACTTGTTCGCTTCCTACCCAAACAAATTAATAGACAGCCAGATTAACCTCATGCTCTACACTCCTCTTGGTCTGATATATGAAAAAAAAAACCACAGTAGAAAACAGACTTACAATAGGGGCTCAGAGCCAGGCTAAAAATCATTGCTTGCTCCCTACAGTCTCAAAAGAAGGGAATCTAGGGTACTGCCAAACAACAGCCAAACCAGGAACATCATCCCTTTTGTATGCCTCTATTCAGCCTCATCCTCTTTTTACTTCTCCTTATTAACACAGCAGAGCACAGCGCTAATTAAGCCTGATTTTTCTTTCTTGGATGTAGGCCCTAATATGATTTAAAAATAACCTTAATGTGGTATTTGTAATTCTAGCATTTACCTCTCCCCATGATTTCCAATATGATGTGACTGCATTCTTGGCTCAAGAAAAGCTTCTGTAACGCTTTAAAACACCAGGAAAAAGCTCCAGTGAGACCTCGTTCCTATTGAATAAATGATGGGACATGAACAGAGCACAGGATATTTGAATATCCTTTAAACATCACCAAAAACAGTTAATTAGTTAAGCTCTACAAAGCAAAACTGAACCTCTGGGGAGGCAGACTGCTTTCCCTGCATGGCCATCCCCAAATCAGGACAGATCTATCACATCCAAATGCTGACACCCCTCTAGCACACAGCCAGAATGTCCCTTCTTGGATGTCAACCATGGAGTCATGGAATGGTTTGGGTTGGAAGAGACCTTAAAGGTCACCTCAATCCACCCTCCTGCCATGGGCAGGGACATCTTCCACCATCCCAGGTTGCTCCAAGCCCCATCCAACCTGGTCTTGAACACTTCCAGGGATGGGGCAGCCACAGCTTCTCTGGGCAACCTGTGCCAGGGCCTCACAACCCTCACAGGGAAGAATTTCTTCCTAACATGCAATCCAACCCTGCCCTCTGTCAGTGTGAAGACATTCCCCCTTTTCCTGCCACTCCAGGCCTAAGTAGTCTCTCTCCCTCTTTCCTGTAGACAGACTCCCTTCAGGTCCTGGAAGGCTGCAATTAGGTCACACCAGAGCCCTCTCTTTTCCAGGCTGAACAATCTCAGTTCCCTCAGCCTTTCCTCATTGGAGAGCTGTTCCATCCCTCTAATCATCTTGGTGGCCTTCTCTCGACTCACTCCAACAGGTCCGTGTCCTTCCTGTGCTGGGACAGGGGGAAAGCCCAAACCACCCCCTGCCACACCAGGCCCTGCACAAACAAAACCCCAACTCACGCACCAAGGGACAACGAACTGCTGGAGCTGCAGCGGAGCCAATGCCACTATTGACAGTGATAATGTCCCTCTGACTGTTTGTCCCAAGGCAGCAGCGTCCCTGTCCTCATGGACACAGGCTGACAGGGCCAGTAGCTGGAAAACACAACTGCTCTCCAGCCTGGATAAACATGCAGAGCTCCCTCAGATTGTTCATTTGCACAGACATTAATCACCACCAGAGCCCACCTCAGCTGCACTCCTTGTGCAACTTTTATTCTCTCAAAGGTGTGTATTTTCATAATGATGGTGCTCATGTACCACTTAACAGTATATTTCCATTTGGCCCCAGCCACCTTCCTGAGCAGTAATTTATTACTGCTTGTCACTGGCTGCTACTGAGAGTAAGGCACAAACTAGGTTTATTTGGTCTGCTTGGTATTTCTTGCTTGACTCTTTCTTGCACAGACAATACTGCCAAAGGCCAGAGAGTCACAAATCAAAACAGCCAAGTTTCTGGGCCTTCCAGTTGCACTTGTGCTGTACTTCCCAACCTTTTGTCTGCAAGAGCTAAAAAATGTCATTTATTTCTTCTTTTTTAATGGAAGTAGGGACTGCTTTTTAATGGCAGTCTGACTGCTCTAGGAGCTGCAAGTGTACAGTGAACACCTGTGTGGACATGAAAATGTGAGACAAGTACTCAGGGCCTGCCCATGCTGATTTTATTGCTTAAGGACCTGATCCAATATACCAGATATGGCCAGGGATTGTGCTGCAAATTAACTGCAGAGCTCTCTACCTGCAAAGCAGCATGGGGCTGCTGCTGTCCCAGTGCTGCACCTTAACCCTGCTGGGGTGTACAGGGGCACAGTTCAGATTTTAAGCAGCCAAAACCAACAGTCAGAAGCTGGAATAAAAACAAGAAAAGCTCTTTTGCAGGGAGTATCGGGAAATTTGGAGGCCCACAGAGAAAAAAAGCTCCCGCCTGTTAGTTTCCCTTACAGAGAAAAATAAAAACTAAATAAAGGAAGAAAAGTATGATTTTACTATTAGCAAACAATTTTTTACCTCAGACTTGGTAAACAAGTGTTTTGTCTCTGCCCCTGTGTAAGCTCCGTGAGAGGATTTTCCACAGATGAAATTCCAGTGAGTATTCCTGTGAAAAATTAATTGTCCTTATTGCACCACCTTTCACTGCAATGAGGCATTGCCTCACCTACACCTCATTTTTCATCTGTGTACTAAGCTGGGTATCCTATCACTCCTATCACTGAGGAGGCCCCACAAAACCTTTTACCCTGGCCTGAAGGTGCTTGGCCTGAACACACCAGGCTGGTGGCCACCTTCCCTGTCCCCATGGGGACCTGGGGAGCAGGATCACCACCAGCTACAGCCCAGGTGGGGCACAGGGGGGCTGTGCCCCCTGCTCACCCCAGCACTGCTGCCCTTTGCCTGCCTGTCCCCCATGCCCGCAGGCTGTGCACCCACACACACATGTACATACATATGGATGTGTATATGTACATATGGATGTGTATACATATGTATATGTGTCCAGCTCTGGGCTCATCAGCACAAGAAAGACAAGGAGCTACTGGAGAAGGTCCAGCGGAGACTGCAAAGATGATGAAGGGTCTGGAGCATCTCTCCTATGAGGAGAGACTGTGGGAGCTGGGCCTGGTTAGTCTGGAGAAGACTGAGAGGGGACCTCATGAATACATATAAAATTTCCAAGGTGAGTGTCAAGAGGACAGTGCCAGACTCTTTTCAGTGGTGCCCAGTGACAGGATAAGGAACAATGGCCATAATCTAAAACACAGCAAGTTCCACCTCAACATGAGGAAGAAGTTGCTTCCATGGAGGGTGGCAGAGCACTGGAACAGGCTGTCCAGGGTGGTCTTGGAGTCTCCCTCTCCGGAGATATTTCAAGCCCACCTGGACACGATCCTGTGTCACCTGCTCCAGGTGACCCTGCCTGGGTAGGGGAGTTTGACTGCAGGATCTCCAGAGGTCCTTTCCAACCCCGGCTATTCTGTGATTCTGTATGTGTGATGCATCCCTGTCTGTGGCACATACACGTACGCGTGTGTGTATGTGTGATGCATCCCTGTCTGTGGCACATACACGTACGCGTGTGTGTATGTGTGATGCATCCCTGTCTGTGGCACATACATGTACGCGTGTGTGTATGTGTGATGCATCCCTGTCTGTGGCACATACGTGTACGCATGTGTGTATGTGTGATGCATCCCTGTGGCACATACATGTACGCGTGTGTGTATGTGTGATGCATCCCTGTCTGTGGCACATACGCGCACTGCGCACACGTGTAGCGGGAGCACCCGCGGGCACACACGTGTCGCACACACAACACGTCTGACCACGGGGCACTTCCACCGCACACCCTCTGTGGCGCACCGAGGACACGCGTGTGGCCCAGACACACGTGCCCGCACCCCTGGCCGAGGCACCGCCGCCTCTCTCCATTCCCCGCCCCGCCCGGGCCGCCCCCTCCGGCTCCCGCCCCCGTGCACCCAAATCCCGCCGGGCCGCCGCCGCTCGGCCTTTTCCTGCCTCCCCGCCCTCCTGAACCTACCGACGGCGCCATGGCGGCCCGGCAGCAGCTCGGTAACGCGGGGCGGGCGCGGCCGCCGATGGCCGCGGGGAGGGTGTGCGTGAGGGCGGTGGGGGGGCTGCCCGCCCGCCGGCCCCGAAATGGCCGCCAGTTCCACTCAACAGGGCGGCCCCGGAAGGCGCCTCAGCGCGGGGCCGCCGCTTCCATCCCGGTGGTTCCCGGGCTGTGTGTTTGCGGGGCGGGAAGGCGCTGCTTTCCCCTCGGGCCGGTTGTACCTTGTGTTGGGCGCGGGGTGATGAAGTTGGGGCTCCAGCAGGCGGGAGGACCGGAGGCGATGGTGTCCCGCGCTTTCAGCGCCCTGAGGCGCGGGCGGCAGCGCTGCCCCCGCCCGCCCGCACCCCCGCCTCAGGGGTCCCGCCTGAGGGGCGGCTGCCCCGTGAGGGGAAGTGTGGGGCTCTGGTGCTCCCCGTCCCCTCCGCAGCCAACTCGCATCACGTATGTTCCCTACATTACAGCAGTTTTAAAGGCTTCACTCACTTAATCCTGTTGTTCCCTCTGTTCCACTTTTAAAACCCAAATACCCGTGCTCTTCCCACCTGCCAGCTTTGCTCAGTGTCTCTGACAAGACCAACCTGGTGGAATTTGCGAGGAGCCTGCACGCGCTCGGCCTGGGTTTAATTGCCTCCGGAGGAACAGCCAAGTCCCTGAGAGATGCTGGCTTGCCTGTCAGGTACACACGCTCCCCTGGACATCTCCACAAAAAGGCTTATTTGGGCCCTGAGGTTGCTTAAATTGTTTTCTCTGTGAGCAAAAATGACCTGAAAGCAGGTCTCCCCTTCAGAAAAAAAAAAAAAAAACAAACCAAACGTGCCCTAAAGCAAACTGCAGAGGCTTTTTGGCCAGGAGTTGGTTTACTGAGGCTGAAGAGCATTACCGTGCAGGTCAGCACACAGAGAGGGGTCAGGAGCCTTGTGTTGGAGGTGGTGCCTTGTCTGCCTTGAGGCAGCTTTGTTTCTGTGGGAGAATCTGTTATCTTGAAGTTCATAATCTGACCCTAGCGCTGCTCCTCACAGCCAGGTGCAAGCTCATCTTTGCCTGGTCTTGCTGGAGTTCATTTGTCACAAATAATTTTCCCAGCACAGTGGTCCACTGATCCAGACAGAGCACTTAGGTGTTGTGCATCTACCATTTGAGAAGGTGCATGTACAATCATGCTGGTTTGGCCAATGATGCGGGGGAAATTCATTCTGGTTTCTTCCATGCTGTGATTAAAAACCCGTTCTGGCCAAATAAAAATGGTTTCCAGTGCAGTGATGAAAAACCTGTCAATTATTTGGCAGGACAGGTGACCGTGACTCTGTTTTGGTTCCAGTGAATGCGGTGGTAGGCCTCTGGGACACATCAGCACGAATATACATCAGCCCCAGTGCTCCCTGTCCTCGCTGTTACCCAACACTTGGTCATGTCTCTCCAACTACTTTGCTTGGCTGTGCTGTCAGTGAAGTCTGAAGCAAAGATGGTCACATTTCCCCTTCCTTCTCCTTATTGTTCCTTCACCATCCTAAACAGTCATGAGTGGTGAAACTTTAATTGATGTCTTATTTAAGCTGAGAAGAAGAACACTGAGGTGTTGTATCACCTTAGCATGGCCTTCCGTTCTCTCTATAAACCATGTTGACTTGGGATTTGCTTCTCTTGGTTATTCCAGTGTATGTATTTGAGAAATAACTGTACTGCTTAGTTGAGTGTGACCCATTAACTTTATTTCCATTCATGGGAAAAGCAGTTGTTGCCCCTTTGGCATAGGGAGGTTTTGTAGTGAAATTTATACAATTCTTTTGATTTGATTCATTCAGCCTATAGATAAAGTCAGTATGGCACATCTGTTACCATCTGTTTTCTCCCTGAGCAGAGATGTTTCGGACCTGACAGGCTTCCCTGAGATGCTGGGTGGACGTGTGAAAACCCTTCATCCTGCAGTCCATGCTGGTATGTTTCTGCTGTTATATTTTTCAGTCTAAAAGAGAAATGGGCAGTGAGGGTGGGAAGAAGGAGCTGACAGATGTCTTTTTTTAAGGGTTGTGTGGAAGAACCGAGTAATGAGAACAGATTTGCTGTAGGAGCCGGAGGAGAGGTGAAAAGCCATGGGGTGGAGAAGTGCACGGTGGCTGAATTACTTGCTTGTTGCTGTGCTGGCATCTGTGCACAGCTTGTTCTCCCCGGGGCTATAAGTAACAGAGCTTCTCTGTAAAAGCCTTAGCACATCCTTTGCAGAGTCAGTTGCAGGCATGTTGAGGCAGAGAGCTCCGTGGAATTTAACCTGTGGATGAATCTGATATGCAGCATAAGGAACACGACAGCATAGTCTTTAGTGGGTGATTTCTGCATACTCTGATATTCTCTGGCTCCTCTTCAGCAGAGATCTCTGACAGTTGGTCCATCTGCACGTTGATCCATCTGCTCTTTCGTCTCCTGTTCCTATGCTGGAGGTCCCTGGAGTGGAACCTGTTGCCCATCATACCTGGGGGCTGGAGACAATCTCTGACTGCCTCGAACCCAGGATTGTGCTGTTGCTCACACTGTGCCAGCCTGTCACCTGCCTGTTTCTCCAAGTTCCTAGACCCAAGCCACCCACCTACACTGCTCAGCTAGAGGCACAGCCTCTCTTGCTCCCCTTGTGTCATAGGGCAAGTGCCCTTTTTCTCTCCCATGAACTCCTTAATGACAGTTTTAATGTTTTAAGAGTAGCAACTGAGTGCTTTTAAAGTACATTTTTGAAATTGCTGTTCAGTAGGTGGAATGATCTAGGAATTATCACTATGGGAAAAACAGCTGTTAGTGTGGAATTGGAACAACCAAGGAGTCTGTAAAATGGAATAAAGGAGTAGAGGCTGAGGGTGTTGTCTGAGCTAGAATCAGAAAGTTTATGATAGAAAGTCTCTGAGGAAAAGCACAGTCTTAAAGGAGATGTTGAATTAAAAAGCTGGTGGTGATGTAGCTCTTTTTCAATGAAGATATGCTGTTTTTTGTAACTAGGCATCTTGGCTCGCAATATTCCGGAGGATAATGCTGATATGAAGAAACAGGATTTCAGCCTCGTAAGGTAAATGTTGGGGGACGTGATGCCAACCATCAGTAATCAAAAACCAACATTGGAGACCAGGCAGCCCCAGGGAATGGGAGCAGTAGGGATTGTAACATCTGCTCACCGGTAGATCTGCAGTCTCCTTCCTTTTCCGTAGCAGGAGATACTTTCTATTTAAAATTGCAGTCTAAAGATGCATCTTCATCACTTGCAGTCAGAGAAAACTAAACCAGGAAAAAGTTACATTGTGGCTTCCACAGGGAACAGAGGTTTTGCTTTCTTCTGGTTCTCTGGGAATTTTGACACGTTACATTCAGTCAGTGTAGCGCCACATTACACGTGTTGCAAAGTTGAGTTGAGTACTTCTGAAGCTGGCTCATCTCCCCTCAGCTTAGTTCCACATGTCCCATCAGATGGCAATTCCCGATTTTGAAATACTTGCTTAGTAAATATACCCTTTGATATTTGCATAATGTTTACTGAGTTTCAACACATAAATAAAGAATAGACTGGAGAAGTGGGTCAGGAACACGCAGCATTTGTTTAGCCAGAAAACACACAGATAAGAGACAAAAAACTTAAACTTTGAGAGCCACTGTGGGAACAAGTGAGCTGCAGCCAGAAACTGAAGTAGAACAGTTTGTGCACTAATATACCAAAGATTGTTTTTTTCTATTTTTGTTAGAACCTGGTTCATTGACACGGGGCAGTTTGGGACTATGTGTCACTAACTGATGTTAACATCTAACCAATGCTTGTGAATAACCATCTGCATGTCAGTGAGTAGCTGCTGGTTTAGAAACAATGGTTGAGCTGGACACAGTGAACTGTAGGTATAGCCAGAATGGCTGTGGGGCCAGAATGCATCCTAAGTTTTAAAATTACTTTTAAAAACTGATGGATGGATTTCCAGGCTGAATTTGAAAACCTGAAATTTAAAACCACAGGAATCCTCATAGATGGCTCAGCAGTGGTGACTCTTCAGAGCAAGCTGCATATTAAAGCAGGCTCTGCTGAATTGCAGGGGGAATAACATGCCCTTACATCAGTGACTTATAGTGCCCTTGCATCCAGAGTAATAACTTGGATTCAGGTTCTCTTACAAAAAGCAGAAGTAGCTGATCCTCAGCAGGACTGTCTTTGCATAGCTGCATGAAATTTGCATATCCAAGTCAATGTAGGAAAGCTTGATATTGATTATCTGGATTTCCACAGATAAAAGCGTTAGCAGTGTTAAAGTCCACAGATTCCTGATGGTTTGCAACAAGTTAGGAGCATGAATGGATTGAGGGGAAAGGGGCATTAGAAACAGAAGAGACAATAAAAGACATTGCAGGAAATTTAGGGACGTCGGGGGTTCTGAAATCCATACTGGAAGCTGATCATCCCTTCTGCTGGAGTTCACACTGAGTGGGAACAAAGGATTATTAGAAGTTGAACACAAGGGTACTCATCACAGCAATTCACTGCCAGTACTGGGCACAAGTTGGAGTTCAATACCTTCATATATTCAGATCAAGAGAGTAAATTAATTCGCTTGGATTAAAAATCTTATTTGTGAAGGTCAGAACAAATCCCTTCTTTCGCTACAGTTCATGTGGCACTGGTAGAATGGGACAGGGCAAGTTATTACTTCATGCTTGCTGGAATACAGACCTTCTTCCACATCAGATGAAAAAACTAATTCCAGTAAGGTCCAGTCTTAGCTTGAGAGGGAAAAGTCAATTTTCCCCCCTGCTTTCATGTGCTACAGAGGCTTTGTGGGATCTGGGTGGCACGCTCAGGTTTAATATGTTGTTGGTATTTTAAAAGTCCAGAAGGTGATATGTAGGTCGTTTTCTGCTCTTGGAAAAGTTGTGGAAAATTGGATTGATTGTACTTTGTTTGCGATGGCCCTTGCTCTGGGTGCTTACTGGGTGCCTGTTTTCAGTACTGCTGAGAACCCACTTTGAAGTCCTTTGAGATGGCTCAAGTTGTGCACCAACATCACTGAACGTTTAAATACAGGCCCACATATTCAAAGAATCTCTTCCTTTAAACTGTCTTTTGTAAATTGTGGTTCTAGCATTGTTTGATACACAGAACCCAGTTAAATGTCAGAATACACCGTACCATCACTTGGTCTTTGGCTGAGCACCACCATGTCTTAAGTCTTTTGGAGAAAGAAGCCTTGGCCACAGGATTTTAGTTGGTCCCTGAGAAACAAGACCATGAAAACACTGTTGGTGTCGTGTCCTTTGCCAAGCTTAATTTGGCATTTTTGTTTGTTGCTGAATAACTGT